ATTCATATGGCTTTAATATATTGTCCCATGTGTGCAGCAGGGCAGGAAAAATCTGTCCACGTAAATTTAATAAAGTGTCCAGTTTGAAATTCCCTGAATGTTACCTGGTCTGACAGACATCTGAAGAAGGTCAACAAATTAAAAAAATGTTTTTGAATCATTTCACCCCAAGCAAGGAAATAAAGCCACTAATATGCAGGTGGTTATTGAGTGTGAAAAAATATAAGAAACAGAAAAACATTATTAAGGAGCAAGAACAATAAAAGAACAGGAAGATAGAAGATAATGACTGAACAAAACTGGTAGAGATTTCTACAAACAAGAAGTGCGAGAAAAACTGTTAGCATAGAACTTATGGTTACATCTCGCCATTTCAACTGTAAAAGGATGAGATTTTGCCACCAATCTGTTACTGCACTTACATTCATAAAGTCGAGGTACCATTGACAGGGCCAGATTTAGATGAAGAGAGGCCCTCAGCTATTTGTGAGGTCTCTCCAAATCCCCGATTCTCATGAGTAGAGAAAAATGGAAATGTATTAAATCAAACAATTTGAGTAAACATTAGAATGATGATGGGTGTTTAAAATTACTGAAGGATTATTTAGTGTTTATAATGCGTTATGACAGCATGTGTAAGACAGTGTTAAAAATATTATACATCTTGGCTAGATGTTGCATAGATTGCCTGCTAAAGCCTGTAGGTAAATCCAGCACTGGCCATACATAGAGCAAAGTTCAATGGTCTAAATGTTGTGATAGTAACAACAATGAGGATATTAGTTTTTAATGTAAATAATTTAGAAATATTTGGTTGGAAGATTATAATAATCCACTTACTGACCTAGAAAGTCAGCTTTTAAAATCCAGCCAAAAAACACTTTCAAAATGATCTTTTAAAAGTTTTGTTTGGTCAGATTTTGAAAAGTTTCACCTCCAGATAGTATCATTAACTTGCTCCCATCTGCCATCATTCAGTTCATTAATACTATGAATATCTGAGAGTTGAGAAATGATTTTATTCACCTAACTTCTCAACTAAGCTAAGGTGTGACTGTTAAAGACCAATTGCCGCAGCCCAAATATTTAAAAATGAAAAAATAATAAAAAAAACAACTTGTTATCAAAGGATATGACCAAGGTTTACCACTTTGTAGTGGATGGATTCTCATACAGGGTCAAATACATGGGTGAGGAGAAACAACCAATAGTAATGAACAATAAACACCAATATATAATTTAATAAGATTCAATTATAACAAGACAATACATGAAAACATTAATGAATTGTAATGTATGGAAAGATGTTTGCTATACATTTCTGTGTGGAAAAATGTATGTGTTATATATCTGATAGGAATAGTCAAAACCCACTTAGCTTTAGTCATTCTCCTGAAATAAAATAAGGTTTTCTCTTTTCCCTTTTCTCTCTTTTGCTTTATATTTCTCTTTTGTTCTTTTTACTTTCAGTTCAGTTCGTTTCGCCCATGCAGCAATATCTTTTGATATATTATTCTTTCTTCACTGTTATGAGTTTCGACCCCATAAGTTGGTTGTTTACTCTCTTCTTCACATATTTGGTAGAATGTAGAATTCATCATTCAGATAGGAAGATTCAGCACTGTACAAGTCATAGCCTGCATCCAATTGAGTAGGTCACACATGCCTGTCTTAGGTGATTATTACACTTAGTAAGTCACCTGTGCATTTGATATATGTACATTAGAGTGTTGAGTTGAATTGGAACTCATCTTTATTGTGCGATTTACTTTGCTTGATGGTAACAAGTAAAAGAGATGTTACTTGTTTAAGATGCATATTCAAATTAATTCCTTCTGCTTAGCATTTCATACTTGATCACATGATTCTGCATGTGTGTGAGAAGCTATTTTTAGATCTCACTTAGACCTGTTGCTAGGACATCACCCTGTTTCACCTAATTGTTTGTGTAGTCAGCGACTACTATGTCAGATTGAAAGTGAGAGGGTGAGTGAATATACTATATTATAGAAAGTTGGTTTGCTAAAAGTAAAATGTGTGTGGTTAGGGGTTTTGTCTGCATAAAAATATATTTACATAAGGGCCAAGGAGATAACTTATGCAATCTTCATGATCACTATCATGCTGACATCGATATTATTCAGACAGCCCACCAATCAAAAGGAACTACCACAGAGATGGAATCCCCAGAACCAGGATTGAATACCCCAAGCAAGTGCTACAAAGGACAGGAAATTGTGGAGAACCATGATCACCAACGTCCTGAAGAGACATGGCACATAGAAGTAGTAGAAGATACTTCTGAGGTCTGTCATCATAGAATGCTTGGTAACCAATTTGCCAGTGGTTTGATCTTTACTTAATGTCTCCATATTATGTACTTGAGCCAGACAAAGTTGAGCTTAGTCAACAATATATATTTAAAGATATCTACTTTTTTTATTGTCAAAATCTATTACATACTTCCTTAGCATGTTTACTTTTTACACTTGACTAATCCAGAAAATTGTGTGAAGACTTTAACAATCTAAAAGAAGAACTCTGAATTTTTAACTATAGAGAAGACAACAGGAAACCACTCTTTATTATTGTTTTCCAAAAAGGCATGGCAATTCACAAATAATAAACAAATCTGTGGAGAGTCATGAGATTTAAGAAAACATTAAATAGCTGTAGATTGGGCCCTGACATTGGGGAGCAGTTAGTCTAAAAGGACAACTCTGAATTTTAAACCATGACGAAAACAGCACAAAACCACACCCCTATCTTTCTTCAGAGAAAATAAAGAAAAAGGTGTGAATAGTCATTTTTTTTTTAGATAAAGCATTTTTAAACATTATAATTAATTTTGACTAGTATTTACTTTCCTCTTTATTATCTAAAGCAATTTCTGTCATCATTAGTAATATTTTATTAGTATTTACTTTCATCTTCATTTTTTATTAGATGAAGCATTGTCAGTTATCTTACTTATTATAAAACGCAGATTGTGTGTGTGTGTGTGTGTGTCTGTAACGTTTATATATTGGATCGAATTTCCTACATTTTTCAACCGATTTCAACAAAACTTCACAGGACTACATAAAATTACCTTGTGGTGGTTCTAACAGCGCCAAAAATCGGAAAAATATAATTGTTTTTGCACAAAATCAATTTGAAAACACGATTAAGAGACATTGTGAAAATAGAAGGGGGACAACTCACATCGGGTTGTTTGTGTGTGTGGGTTCCTTTAAATATGGGAGCAGATTTCCTATATTTTTCAGCTGATAAAACAAAACTTCACTTTTTTTTTTTTTTTGGCAGGTAGTGTTTCTTATTCTTTTGCACACTATTTTCTTTATTTTTAACATTCAGAATGCTTTAAAAATTCCATTTACAAGACAATTATTTATAATAAAATTCTATTCACTCGGGAGACTCGTAACGATTGAAAACAATGTTTTTGTTTGCGTTTGGGTTTGACCAATTCGTAAAAAAAAAAAAAAAAAAATAATTAAGACATGCGTGTCTGTCAACCTTAAACAATAATCTAATGATCTCTACTGATTGTACGAATACAAACATCAGATAAATTCTTTATCTTTAGGGAAAGATAATGAAATCTAAACATACACAAGTCCTAACTAAAAATAATAACTGGAACGGGAAACTATATTAAATACACATGGTGTCCAATTTTTTTACTGTATTCAATAAGTAAAAATCATAAATTGTAAAAGATAATTATTACAGAAAGGCTACTAAATGAATAAGATTTATTAGATCATAATTAATAAACCCAAATAAAATTAATATTTTTTGTATTAGAAACAACGAGTGGAAAATATATTCAAATCAGAATTCTAATTATGAATCACCACAAGCAAAATATGCAATTTTTATTACTGTATTCAATGAGTAAAAATCATAAATTGTAAAACTAAAAGATTACAGAAAGGCTACCTACATTTTTCAACCGATTTCACCAAAACTTCACTTTTTTTTTTGGCATGTAGTGTTTTTATTGTCTTGCACACTTTTTTTCTTTATTTTTACATTCAGAATGCTTTAAAATTCCATTTACAAGACAATTATTTATAATAAAATTCTATTCAATCGGTAGAGACTCATAACGATTGAAAACAATGTTTTTGTTTGAGTTTGGGTTTGACCAATTCGTAAAAAAAAAAAAACTAATAAGACATGCGTGTCCGTCAACCTTAAACAATAATCTTTGTCTAGTTATTATTAATTTTTGACTAGTATTTACTTTTATCTCTTTTTATTTGTTGGATGAGGCCTTTTCAGTCATCAGCAGTAATATTTTATTACTATTTTCTTTCACCTTTCTTTTTTAGTTGTTTTTTGTTTTTATCCCAACTTACAATAGTCAAAATTTAATAATAATGGTTGACAATGTTCTATCTACTAAAAAAGAAAATCAAACTCTTCCTATTGATCCTTCTAAGCCACTGAAACAAAGAATGGGTGGCTAAGTTATAGTTTAAGATTTCTTCATTTGTAAATCTGTCAGATTCTTATAATTTAGCAGTTAGCACAGCTGGGCATTTATGAAGCCTCCCCAGGGCAAAAGGATCATGAGTTCAAATCCTACCAGGATCTTATGCTTCATTTTTTGTCCTGCACTGTCTACCCACAGCTGTAGAATTGATGGCTTGAATAAAATTGCAATAAAAAAAAAGCAACTAGCAATTAATAATATCTGATGTTATTTCTGGCAGTCCCAGGTGGGTGTGAATTTTGTTTTTGTTAGACATTTCAAAATTGTTTGTAAAATGTTAAAAAGGAACCAGCTGTATGCAATATTCTCATACCAGATGGTGCTGACACAAGGGAAAAAGGTTTCATTACTTTTTTTTCTTTTCTTTAAAATTTTTGTGCAAATGCTCCATGTTTTTATTTATTTTTATTTTTTTGAAGAAATTTGCTTTCATTTTAATTCATTTGTTATCTCTGCTTCCTGTTGCCTCAAGCAAGTGTTGTATTCTCTGTTTCAGGCCAATGGAGGAGGTGGAATTACTTGTGTTCTCCAAGATGGTACAGTCTTTGAAAAAGCTGGTGTAAATATATCTGTTGTACATGGCCAACTACCTCCTGCTGCTGTGAAACAAATGAGAAGTCGGTAAGAAATTGCTTTAACTTTCTGTTTATATATATATATATATATATATATATAAAATGTGTGTGTGTTTGCATGCTTATATGATTGTTTATATATATATATGCATAGCTATGTATTTTTAATATTGATAATAGTATATGTTTGCTTATATGCATGAATGTATGCATTTCCTCTCTCTCTCTCTCTCTCTATATATATATATATATATAATTATTTATTTAAAAATTATAACATAAATATCTTTGTAGTGATTTTATAACATATGTATGTTATAATTTTTAAATAAATAATTATATTTGCTCTACTCTGTATTGAGCACTATTTTAAGCATAGTAATTATTGGTTATTGGAATTTATTCTGTATATACCAATCAGTCATTTGTTAAAACCTCCTGAAAATGGACCAAACAATTATACAAAGGTTCATCTACAAAGCTCTGGTCGTTCAATCAACTAAGTGATAAATTTTTTATATTTGTATTAATCGTGTATATATATATATATATAAATCATATATAATTTAAATAAGGTGTATTTTAGCAGTAAGAATTCTCTCAAATATGTTTTGTTATGGACAAGTTCTATCTATCAATTTTTTTTATTAAACCTTTCAAAACGTCTGAATAAGTTGTTTTGTGTAATGGCTAAATTTGCCAAAATTCATGTTAACTTTTATCCCCCCCCCCCCGAAGTACTTTTAAATGTTGCTACATTCAATTTCAAGGATTTTTCTGTGTATATTTATGCAACTGGTTTTGAATTCTGGTGTTCTAATGTTTGATGGAACCAATTTCAAGTCACTTAAGGTGATGCCAAATAATTGGTGAAACTGAATTTTTATATATATATATATATACACTCACACACACATGAATAAAGACAAAAACAAAACTTATCTTGGCTACTACATTTTTTTTTTCATGGACTTTAAATATAAGGATTTTAATATTTGAAATAAAAAAGTCATTAGTTTTTCCAAAATAAAGAATGTTTATAAATATACCTATGGCTAATTTAAAGTCAAGTCCTTACATTTGCTTTGATAAAGTCCATTAGTGAGTGAAACATGTTGGCTAAGATAAGTTTTCTTTTGTCTTTATTCATATATTTTTACACATATATTGTTTTTAGTTATATCTGAATTTTTACACACACACACATATATATATATATATATATATATATATATATATATATACATAAAAAAAATTCCAAGAGGATAGAATCCAGGTAGGTAGATCTGATGAATTGGATTGTAATTACGATTCCAATGTAATAAATTATAACCATGGAACATTAGTGTTTAAGCCTTTTTATTATATATATATATATATATAACAAATTTTAAAGGCAACAGACAAATTATAAGTTTCTCATGTTCATGGATTAGATGAATTTGCTGTTGAAATTATAAAAGAATTGTCCACATTTTGTATTAGTTCATTAGTTTTTGTTAAGTTTTTAAGATTTTGATTGGCTTCACTCATTAATAATTAACTTAAATTCAAAGTTCATGTGGCATTTTGCATTTTGAATATTTATATTGTCACATGGACATGATGCAAGTTTTTGAATTTTTAAACAATTTGGTGTTATGTGAATGTCACATACTATGAATGCATTATATAAAAATACATTTTAGAATTTCTATCCCAGAATTATAAGTGATTTTTTAATTGTTCTTTTGCTAGAATGTTATCACTATGGATCACAGATTATATTAAAATCAACCAACCTAATGAAAAATTTTGTATTAATTTCCAAATAACAGGACCAAGTTTCCTAAATTACATTTTTTTAATGAATTTCATGCAAAAAAACCCCTTTGTTTTTGCAATGAAAACATAAAATAATAAAGTCTGAAGGAAATAAAATAAATAAATCTAATACTTATTTCAATTAAATAAGTTAAAGGAGTTATTCCAAATTTAAAAAGCAAAGTTTTTTTAAACCAGCTACATGAACAAACTACTGCAAACTAAAGCTAAAACTAAAAATCCTTGCTCCTAGTGGAACAAGATTCTGGATGAGAGTTGCACTATGACTTGTTAACACCATGACAGATATATATATATATATATATATATATATATATATATATAGTTTTAAGGTGTGCTATATTTATGGGATAAAGTGCTCAATATCAGCAATAGAGCATATGTAAATATAAATATAATAGTGAACATTGAAGTCAACACTCAGAGGCGACAGACTGTTTCCTGCTTGACGCAATCATCAGGCCGTGAATGTTGCATTTTTCCTCAATGGGTCAGTGGTGCATTGTTGGTATATCTATTCTGGTGGTTATTTTTGCGGGAGTAGCTTGTTTGTTTATTTATTTGTTTGGGTTAATTTTATATTATTTATTCTTTTTGGTTTTTTGATGTTTGCGGGGTGAATTTGCTTAGATTGCTTATTTAATAGTTTGTTTTGGTCTAGGAAGATAAAGCTATTTATTCGTCCAATGATTCGATTGTTTGCTGTAGTCTGTACTGATAATTTGGCAGGGAACAGTTTTAAATTTATTTATTTATTTATTTAGATTGATTGTTTTTACTTGTTTTTGCTTATTTATGCTTATTTTCATTAGTTCTAACAGTTATTTTAGTAGGGATGATTTGTTAATTTGTTCATTTATTTATTTATCTGGATTAATTTTTATATTTGATTTTATTTATTTACTTATTTTTTATTTTGTATATTTTTATTTACTCTATTTGGTTTTTGATTTTTGAGTAACATAGTAATGTTTTTTTTTTATTTGTTATATAGCAGTTATAACTATTTTTACATCCAATTTTTGGATGGGTTGTTGTAGTCTATTCTAATGGTTATTTTGGTGGGATTGGTTTGTTAATTTGTTTATTATTATTTACTTTATTTATTTGGGTTGATTATTTTTATTTGTTATATATTTTATTGTTTATTTTTATTAATTCTATTTCGTCTATTGTAGCAGGAATGGTTTGTTAATTATTTATTGTTGTAGGTAATCACTCAAAAACCTGCAAACTTTGCTTGGAGGAAAAAATAGCTATTATCACCTTCCCAGACCAATATAAATTACTCAGCTCATCTCAGAATGCAGACATTTAAACAAATTTTTACTATGTTACTTAAAAATCGAAAACTGAAATAAATTAATACAAATAAACAAAATAATATAAAAAACAAGTAATATGTTAATAAAAAACACCGATTAAAATAAAAATTAAAATAAATAAATATATAAGATAAAAAATAAAAATAAATAAAAACAAGCAAAATAATTTAACACAAATAAATAAACAACTTCCGGTAAAACAACCCACAAAATAGACTACCCACAATGCACCACTAACCCGTATATATATATATATATATATATATATATATATATATATATATATAAATAGCCAAGAAAAATAACAGCACTCATGACCTGATCTAGCATGAAACAGACTGTCGCCTCTAAGTGTTGACTTCTGTGTTCACTTTTTATATATATATATATATATATGTGTGTGTGTATATATAGTACATATATATATATATATATATATATATATATATATATATATATATATATATATAAATAGTAGTACTCGTGAGGAAAACCTCAGATAGCTCAATTTGCAGATATGTCAGAACAAATCGGTACCTGAGGAAAAAATTGAAAATAAAAAAAGAAAGAACTAAAAACATCAGAACAAGTTGAAACAAATCACCGTATGTGTGTATAGTTGCTTATATTTGCCTTTCAATTTATGTATATGTTGTCTTTATTTTTTTTAAGGATCGTGGACACCTATTTCCTGTTTCTTCACATTTTTGTGTGTTTATATATCTAATTATGTCTACGTGTTTGTGTATTATAATCTGATTGTGTATGTATTGTCTTTTGAAAGATTTCACCCTTCCCTGCCCATGTCATCATTTCAAATGTATCTAAGCTGTAATGAAGCTTAGACCAACATTAGATTTAAACTTTTATTCCAACTGAATTTTTGGCCTTTCAATAAAAACAAAAGAAATAACAAAACATTTATTTTTTCTCAGTTTCTTCTTCAAATAATTTTATAATTTTTTAAAAACTTAATAGATTAAATTTAAAATTGGTAATTTTGAATTTTATAGTAAGATTTAATATTGATTAGTTAGAATGAATTCTATTTTAGTCTAACCCTAACATTAAAGCATTAATTAATTATTATAACCAAAGTTTGTTGTCGAGTTTTTTGAATTCTCATATACTTGTATTTTGATTGATCATTGCAGTTTATGTAACAGCGTTTCCCCTAGCGAGTGGTGTTTGATAGATTTGAACCTTTTAAAACTCTTTATTCTACATTCAACACAATCACTTGATAAGACACCAGAAGTGTTGAAACAAAATGGCTATTTTTGTAGTGATTTTATAACATATTTATGTTATAATTTTTGAATAAATAATTATATATATATATATATAGAGAGAGAGAGAGAGAGCATTGGAATCAAATATAGGTTGGAATCTGACAGAATGATAAGATAAAGAACAAAAAGCATCTATCAATCTAATATTCACTTCATCAGAGAAAGAGATACGGAGACAAAGATGAAAGAAATTCTGGTATTTTTACTTTTGTGTTGTTTGATTTTCATTATGTTTCACGTGCATTCAACTTTTTGAAACAACATTGGTATAATTTTGTTCAGAATTCAAGCAGAGATGACATGTCCATTCAAAGTTTCAAGAAATTAATGGATTCCAAGCTTACCTGAAAAATATTGATCTATGTATGTAAGTGTATAATAATTCTTGTTGTTGATGTGGGAATCAGATGATATATATATATATATATATATATATATATATATATATATGAGAAAATATATAGAAAATAGGAAGGAACTGGTTAGGTAAATAATCCAAAGTCCCTTAGTATTTTAGTTATTATTTTTAAAAAATAGTGCTCGATACAAAAGTAGAGCATAAATATAATTATTTATTTAAAAATATGATTCCAAATCGCTAACAT